TCACAAAGGAGCATCTATAGTCCACGAGGAGTCTCGCACAATCCGTGTGATGTCTGTGTGAAGGACAACTCTGTTAAATAACACAGGCCTCAATTGCGACCCAGAGGACAACTCCTCCCCGGTGTCCACCTGGGCACCGAGCTGTTGAGCGCAGCTTTTGAGATGTGACCATGCAGGCAATTCCTATCTGCTGAGTGGCCCATCATGTCTTTCCATGGTAGTGAGAAGGAGCTATGTATGAGCGTAGTCCAAACACTTCTTGAACACCAAGCGGCTTGGGCCCTGATGGCCACTTGAGACCTGCTTTTTGTTCTTGTTGGGTGAAGTTGGAAGAGCGTTGGGAGAAGAAAGGAAGAGGAGGCATCTGAGAATATGGGATGCAGATTGATTTTATTGAGGAAAACGTGAAAGAGAGGGAGTGTCAAAGTGCACATTCTGAGGTGCCTGGATGGTGACCACCAGCCTATGTCCTTTGCGTAGAGCAGATTTTCCCAGAGCCCCAAGGTCTCCCTACTCCGTGGTAGGAGCAGCCCCAGAAGGTTTCCCGAGGGATTGTGCTAGCGAGCAAGGCATTGCAGCAGAGAGTAGCGGCCGTAGGTGGTGGTGCTATGGAAAGGAGAAAGAGGAAGAAAGAAGGAGGTATGTTGGCCATGTTTCCTGACAGCATGGTCTGGCCCCTTCCTTCCTTGCTTGCTTTGTTGTGCCATGGAATGAGCTACAGCTGGTGAGCCCATGTGCCATGAGCGGCACAGAGGAGCATCCTCAGCCTGAGAGCTGGCTGGCACGGTGTTGGAGGCTGCTGTCAGGGGTGTTGGCGTGGGTCCTTAGCAGGGGTAGCAGGCTCTTCCGCCAGAGATGCAGCCCAGGCCTCCGAAGCCAAAGCCTCCCAGGCCAAAGCCTCCGAAGCCGCCTCCAGAGATGGGCACTCCCTGGGCGCTGAGGTTGCTGCCCACGGCAGCTGATGCGGAGGATCCAACGGCGGTGTTCTGGGGGAAGGAGCTGAGGATGGGTCCTGGCAGGGTGACCAGCACGGCAGGAGGCTGGATGACGACGCGGGAGTCCTCGCACTGCCCTGACACAGGGCTCGTTGCAGCTGTTAGCCAGAGGGGTGGGTCCGCAGGGGTTGCAGATGTCGTAGCAGGACATGTCTGTGTTGTGGAGGGTGCCTGGAAGAGAGGGTGTTGTGAAGGCGGAGGGTATTGGGGTTGTGTGGAGCGGTGGTGGGGGAGGCCAAGAGAGCGGGGAGGCCCAGGGTTGTGGGGAGCATGGCTTTGGGGAGGCGGAAAGACTGTTGAGGCTGGGGCGAGACGGGAGGTAGCAAGATAAGGCTGGTCAGGTGGGCGAAGAATGCGAGTGGGGTTCAGGCTCACCTTGTTGGTCGCAGGAGAGAAGGCGTCGGGAGGAGTGTGTGAGGGTGCTACGCGCAGGGACTGCTTTTATGCTGGTCCTTGAGTGCCTTTGGGGCAAGAAACCCTTTGCGCATGACAGCATTTAGTATGAGCTGCTCTTACATGCCTAATCCTGGCAAGTAATGAGGTGGGGTGTGTTGTCGTTCCCACAACGCTCTGGTGTCCTTTTCTCCTGTTGAGGATGTGTCTTTGTGGCCGTGGCGGCAGCTTTTTAGTGAGAGTGGCTCTTTGGGTGGATCTGCATGGAGCGTGTGTTGAGGGCAGTTGGCAGACACGGCCAAAGCATGGGAGAGGTGGGGTGTCATCAAGTGAGGTCATGGCGTGTCACTCGTGCGGTGCTGTTTGCGGCTGCATTGTTGTGGTTGGAAACTGTCTTGGGCAGAGTGACCATGAAATGCTGGATGTCTCTATTCTTGGAGAAAGAAGAAGGAGACCAGTAAAACCACCGTATTGGACATCTGGAGGACCGACTTTGAACTTTTCAGGACACTGGTTGGTAGAGTCCCTTGGGAGGCGGTTCTGAAGGGCAGAGGAGTCCAGGAAGGGTGGGCGCTCTTCAAGAAGGAAATCTTAATGGCGCAGGAGCAGTCTGTCCCCAACGTGCCCAAAGATGAGCCGGCGGGGAAGAAGACAGGCCTGGCTGAAAAGTGAATTGTGGCTTGAGTTTAGGAGGAAAAAGAGGGATTACAATCTTTGGAAAGGAGGGCGGGCCACTCGGGAGGACTATAAGGATGTTGCGAGGCAGTGCAGGGACAAAATTAGAAAGGGCAAAGCTCATCTGGAGCTCAATCTGGCTACTGCCATCAAAGACAACAAAAGATGTTTCTAGAAATACATTAATGCAAAACGGAGGACTAAGGAGAACCTCCAGCCTTTGCTGGATGCCCGGGGAACTTAGTTACAAAAGATGAGGAAAAGGTGGAGGTGCTTAATGCCTTCTTTGCCGCAGTCTTTAGTGGCAAAGCCAGTTGCTCTCTGGATACCCAGTACTCTGAGTTGGTGGAAGCGGACGGGAAACAGAATGTGGCCTTTACTATCCATGAGGAAAAGTTGGCGACATTCTACGGCACTTGATGTATGCAAGTCGATGGGGCCAGATGGCATCCACC